AGGATTTTGGATCCCCTTGAACGAATTTAATTCAAAATAAAAAAGATTGCTACTTCTATGTCCTTAAAACATAGAACTTATCTTAATTTCTCAACTTAAAAATGTCAAAAACGACATCAAACAAATGTTAAATATGACACAAACTAGGTTCAAACCTGGTCTTTTTCAATATTCAAAGCTGTGCGTCAGCTGAGCGTGAGCTAAACCTGAGCCTTGCATAATCTGTGCATCAGTCCAGCCTCAGTCCTGCTTTAGACTTGCGTCAGCTCAACTTTATCGAAATTTCACATAAACTTCGAACGCTGACACACAATTGGTTCAAATCTAGTCCTTTCATATATTCAGCCCTGCGTTAGCCTTGGATTAGCTCTGCCTTAGCTTTATGCAGAGCTCGAAGTCGACTCGACTCCTTACAAAAGTTTCATCGACTTCGAGTTCTAGCTTTATGACAGCCCCACGTTAGCTCTGCTTCAGCCCCACGTTAGCCCTGCTTCAGCCCTGCGTCAGTTCAGTTTCCTATAAAATTCATATAAAATTAAAATTCTACCACAAACTCAAAACCTTATCAATTTCTAAAAATACTGCAAATATCATCAATTGTAAAAGCTTCGAACACAATAGAAATAAATTCAATTGATTCCCACCAGACTGCCCACAACTCATCCCCATTAATCGATGCCAAACTGTGAAGAATGTGAATTAATTTACAATTTAATTGTAAGTGCAATTAATGGATGACTGCAAAGTAATTTACAATTTAGATAAATTGGAATGTATGTGCACTTGTCTAAATTATATGCTTAAATGCAATTAATTGCCTGCGAGAGGTGGAAATAACTTTTAGTGCTGTAATGGTTTAATTGTTTTTGAGTTTGATGATATGTGGTGGGTGGGTTTGGGGGTGCATTAAACTTTTTTGAAGGGTGTTTTCAGTAATTTCATAAATAGCTAATCAATTGTGACTTTTGAGGATTAATTAAATATTTTTCACATTAAAACCTTCAAAATCAAATTAAATAAAAACAATTTAATTGCAATAAAATCTAATTTAAAAACTTCTCGAAAGAAAGTGAATCAGAAAGCCTCAATGAGGTACATCCTGCACATAATCATATTTCCCAGTCGCTTTCATAACAATTGCTTGAGTCATGCGATTTCGTAATTTCTCATGTCATGTCTTGTTGAGAATTTTTCTTTAATTAATTAATTTTTATTTCCACGTGTAAGTGCTTTGATGGTTTCTTAAAGAAACTTTCTTTTGTGTTTGCTGATTTATTTAATGCTGAATGTTTTTTGATCGACTGAGACTCGGACTGAGATTGTGATCAATAGGTTTGAACCAAGAACCAAGAACCAAGACTTGAGAACCAAGAACCAAGAACCAAGAACCAAAAACCAAGAGCCAAGAACCAAGAATTGAGAACCAAGAACCAAGAACCAAGAATCAAGAACCAAGAACCAAGAACCACGAACCAAGAACCAAGAATCAAGAACCAAGAACCAAGAACCACGAACCAAAAACCAAGAACCATGAACCAAGAACCAAGAACCAAGAACCAAGAACCAAGAACCAAGAACCAAGAACCGTGTAAAAACTGCTTCCTTAGTCTTTCAGTTCGCTCTTTCCTCTGAATCCTCAATTCCTAACCTACAATTTGCCAAAAAAAATAAAATAAATAAATCTCAGCACAATAAACTAAAAATTATGTCGACTACAAAAAAGAAGACACATCTAAATGAATAGCTATGAGCACACAAATCTTTTTTTCTTTTTCATAAATTTCCGGTTCTGCTATGAATACTAAAATATTCTCATTTTATCTTGTTTCTATTTCTCATTTGTGCACTTCTTGGAAGGCAACGAGAAATAAAAGACAGAAATGAATAAACGTGCAGAGACAGAATGTTGTTGGGGAATTTGTATGTTTTTTTGGGGGACCCTTGGGGGAGTTTTGTGGGAAATTTGAGAAAGATTCAATAAAATGTGATTTAATTTCCTGGATTTTTGAATAAATAGTCATAATTTGAGTGTACTCTTGTAGAGAACTAGCTTTAAGACTCTGTATTGAGCCGTTTGGATACTTATTGGATCTCCAAACAGTAGAACTCAGTAAAGTGTATAAGAACGCAACTATAAGACTAGCCAGCAACTAGTTTTGACAAGCTACAAATCAAAGAAATCAAACCTAAACCCAAAAATCATTTAAAATCAATCAATTTTTCCAAAATTCCTCAAAAATCTGACAAAATCATCCAAATAGTCTTCCTCTAAAGTCCAACAACAGCTTCAACTCTCTCCTCTCTTTAAATTCTACAATAAGCGTGCAGCAAATTGCATCCATTTGCCATTCTTCGTCTCTAAAATGAAAAATGAATTGAGGAAAAAAGAAATTTGACTTGCATAATTGAACGGAAGTCTGAATATTCATGAGCTAAACAGCAAAAGATTCGGGCAAGGTGAAAATAAAAAAAAGATTCTTAATTAAGAAAATCACGAAATTTATGGAGAATATAAAAATTTATTTTAAAATTACTGAGAGATAATTTGCGGGGGAATGAAAAAATTATTTGAATATTCAAATTCATTCATTCGGTTGAAAAGCTTTTTTTTTTGCCAGAATTAATTGATGCATTCATTTTGTGATAATGGAGATTTTTGAGAAGTGAGAAATTTTATTTAAATGAGCTTTTTTTTTATATTGAGATTTTAAAATTATTTGTTTTTGTATTTTAAATATTATTCAAATTCATTCAAATTCATTAGATTTTTCACATCAAGATGATGAAATTTGAGGTCCAGGTGCATTTACAAAATAGAATCAAGGTTCAGGCGACTTCACACTTTAAATTTAAGATTAAGTTGTATTCACATTAGGTTTTTTAGATTCGGGTGCAATCACATGTGATTTTTTGAAATCAGGTGTGTTTACATTTGAATTATTAATATGCAGGTGCAGTCACATTTGAGTTTTTAGTATTCAGGTGCCTTCAAATTACAGTTTTGACATTCAGTTGCCTACAAAATAGATTTTTGATGTTCAGGTGTTTTCACAATAATGTTTTTAAGGTTCAGATGCCCACACATTGAATTTTTATTCTTCAGGTGTCTTCACATTTGAGTATTGAGATTCAGGTGCTTTCACACTGTTGTTAAGATTCAAGTGAATTTACGATACAATTTTGAATGTTGCGGTGTCTTCACACTAGTAATATGAAAATAAGGAGCCTTCACATTAAAGTTCAAGCCAATAAAAACTCGATAAAGGAAAACTTCAACCTTTCACCTTTAATTCCAACTAGCCTCTCCATCATCTCAATCAAATATTCTATCAAATTTCAAATTTAAGAAGAAATTCACCCCAAAACCGAAGGTCATCCACAAAACTTTTTTCTACTCGATTTCAATATTTTTTTCATTGGAAAAATACAAAAAAAAGTATCATTTACTTACAAGTAACCCAAAAGATAGCCAAAAGGTTCATGGGAAGAAGAATTGTAAATAAGAAAAAAAATGATGAATGCAAAATGATATTATATGAATTTGTATCCTATGTCATGTTCAATGATGTAGCAAAAGAGAAGTCCTTAAAAAAAGTTATGAATGAGAAAGTTTATGCCTTAAAACTTTAATAATTTTAAAGAAGAGAAATTTTCATGAATGAATAAAATGGAAGCTAGAAGTGAAAAGTTTTTAAGCCGAGTTGTGCTGACCTCAGGCTTACTTTTAGTTCTATATAGGAAACTATAGTAGATGAAGTTTTTTTGACTTATGAGACTAGCAATACTAGTGTGAAGACATGCAGTATAAATACTCCCAACCCATCCAGATCATCTTAAATAATTCTAATAAACTTAATCATGAATAATTTATTCCATCTCAAAAACTCAACTCACTTGAACAATTTTTAATTTAAATTATCCCAAAAATATATTTCAAAACTCATTCAAATTCAAAAATTATTCTTAATTGACTTCCTTCGATGAAATCCTTGAATCATTTTCTAATTGCTTTCAAGCGAACTTTGTGCTCCTTAACACATTAAATCTTCCACATTAGTGATCACAATCTTCTTTAGAAACTTTAAATTCAATGCTGATATATTCATATGCGTGCTCTTTATAGAAATGTGAAGTCATAGTTAAAACTTTTTTATATGCTGTATGGAAATTTTATCGTTGCTTTTGGGTCTACTCAAGTTTTGTATTTTAACAGTACAGTAGAAGATTATGATTCAGGTGCCTCTACACTAGATGTCCATAGTTCGCACGTCTCCACACTAGTTTTCTCTAGTTCAGGAGTATTCACATTAGGCGACATTAATTCAGGCGACTTCACACTAGGTTTCATCAATTAAGGCGTCTTCACACTAGGTTTCTCTAGTTCAGGCGTATTAACAGTAGGTTTGATTAATTCAGGTGTCTTCGCATTAGGTTTTACCAGTTCAGGCGTCTTCACAATAGGATTCTTTAATTGAGGTGACTTCACAATAGGTTTTCTAAGTGCAAATGTCTTCACACTAGGTTTATAAAATTCAGTTGTCTTCACACTGTTAGCCAATGACAAATTCCGTATCAAAACCAATTTACAAACCCCAAAAAAATCTCAAATCTGAAATTCAAAACGATAATCACAGCTCATCCAATACACACATGAGAGCACAAACACGCACACAATAATAATTTTCCAATCGAGTTAATGAAACAAGAAGTTCCTTTCGTGCCTGCCAGGAAGCACAAAAAGAGGAAGAAAAAAAAAGTTTTCCTTCTCATCTCACAACTTGCCTTTTAGCTATTAATGGATGAATGATGATACGATCAGAAAGTTTTTGGTAGGAAGTAGGTATAAGTAGTATGAATTGAGATTTAAGAGGATAAGAGAGAGAAAGAGGAAAATGAGAACTCGAGGAAAGATAAAAAGGAAGCTTCTTTTGAGAATTAAGGATGCAGAATTTATGGGAATGAAATGAAGAAGCTTATGGAGTATTTTGGGTATTAAATAGATTTATTGGGATATTTGTGAAGGAATCTGAACTTATTGAACCTAGTACGAATGCAACTGAACTTAATGAACATAGTGCGAAGGCAACTGAACTTAATGAACCTAGTGCAAAGGCACCTGAACTTAATGAAGCTAGTGCGAATGCACCTGAACTTATTGAATCCATTGTGAAGACACCTGAACTTTTTGAACCTAGTGTGAAGGCAAACAAACATACTGAACCTAGTGTGAAAGCACCTAAAATTATTAAACCTAGTGTGAAGGCTCTTGAACTTGAGAAGTTCATTGCTGAACTTGAGATACCAAGTGTGAAAGCACCTGAACTTTAGATATCTAGTGTGAAGGCACCTTAATCTTGAACTTATTTACCGACACCCCACTTTTACATCTCCACGCCCCACTTAACGTTAGCATCATTCAAATTACATCATATCCATGTTTAAAGTTCTCGTAATCTTCAACAAAAAATACAAGCACAAAACAAACTCATTTAAAAAGTTTCTCAGACTTGCAAATCACATTCTTGTTACGCAATCAAATTAAATTAAGTTTCTTAAATTACAGTCTCGAATATTTTACTTTTTTGTATGGAATTTATGTGAAAGCAGTCATTAAGAACATCCACGCACGTTTATCTCGTTGAAAAGACATGAATGAGTAGCTTTGATACAATTTTAAATGCTTTGAAGATTGAATTCTTTGTCGAGATTCTTTTCTTGTTATTTCAATTTTCGTTAAAAGAATGTTTACGATTTTATGGCTTTGTGTGCCTTAATAAATTCATGAGGTATGTTTATTATACAAAAAAATGATCTTGAGGGAATATTTTAAAAGACTTGGAATCATGAAACAATCTCTAAGTACATTAAGATCTCACAAATTTATGTCTTCTTCATCATTTCCCCTTTTAAGGCATCTCACAAGCTATATTTTCTCATTTACATACATAAGAAATCTTTATTATGAGCATGTGCGTGTATTTATGACTTATTATACACATTTGTGTTAGTTAAGGAAGACAGAATAGCTCATAAATGTCAACAAACTTTTCCTTTAGCTATTCATCATTATGAAAATTTCCTTCCTTTCAATTCGACTTCTTTTAACTTTGAAAACTGCTCTAAACAATGGAAGAAGAAGGCAATTTTTATGAGCTCATTGTTGCTGTGAATAATGAATAATGTACAACTTGTTGTTGCGTTAGAGGCACTTGTAGTTTGTTTAAAAGATAATGGAATTGTAATGGGGGTTGGGGTTTGATATGGGGTTAAGACCTTATAGTGGATAACCAGATGTACAGACACACAAGATGGGATGACTGACAGAACAAACAGGATAGAGAAGATAACCAGATAACCATACAGCCAGACAACAAGACTGTTAAGCATATAAACAGATTACCAAGACCTTCAAGTCAAACTACAAAATTGACTAAGCAAACAAGATTTAGAAATAAAAAGGATGATGACCAGACAGCCGTATAGACCTACTTGAACTTAAAGCATCCGATTCATCAAGATTCCAATCAAGATTCCCATTAAGCTTCTCAAATATCTTTCCACAAACATAATCACATAATTTGAATAAAACTCAAAGGATTGCATAAAAAGTTTATCATGAATACTAAATAAGGGGATTCAAATTTATTCATTCGTCCTTCGAATTTCCTTCAAATCAGGACATTAAAAATTTACATCTTACAAATTATATTCGACCACAAAAATACTCCTTCGTCCACTCTGATTCCATTCTAATCCATATGGATATGATTAAACATTTCTTACCGCAAAAAAAGTTTTTCTCTATTATTGTGATAGAGATGAGGGCTAATACCCTTTAATGCCACTATCATGACTGAGATTTTTCATTTCGATCCTTTCAAATTTTCATATTCACACAAAATTTTCAATTTTTGTGAATATCTTCATTTTTATTTTTATCTGTCGGATGAAGTTTTTATTGTCTTTCTTTTTTACGCTTGTGACCAATTCAAGATATGAAATGAGACTTTTTTAAGTGGATTGTTGTAAAAATAAAGGAAATTACTTTGATTAAATTATAGAAAAAGGTTATTTATTGGGTTTGAGGCGATTAATTCATGTTGAAGATATGAAGTTTTTGATCAGATTTTAAAAAAGTTAAAAATTAGAATTTGTGCGTCATATTCTGAGAAATAGTTTAATGTCTCTCCCCAATATGACGCACGATTTTTTTTAATTATTGGTTTGTTTGGTTTTGACAGTTGACTTATTATACTTTCAAGTCTCTACAAATGCGTGAGTGATCTTGAAGCTTACACAGATGATTAGTACGATGCCAACTTCAATTTACTACAATATTGCAATATAATCCTCAAATTCTCCATAAACTTCTCTCAAACTTTATTAAAATCCCTCTCAAATCAAACTCAAAGCCTCAAAGCTTCTTCGTTCAGCAAATTTTGAATTTAAATTACTTTTCATTACCTAACCTCAAAATCTCAATTTAATCTCACAACCATTTGAGCATTTATTCCAGTCGATTGAAAATTTCTCCTGATAATGAAAAGTTTATTTTAAGTTCTTCGGATCGTTTTGAGCTTTTGTTAAAATTGTCCTGGCATTAAGTTTCAATTGACTTTTTTGTTTAATCTTTATGCAAGTTTGTTTTCATAGAAAGGCACTCATTGAAAAGGAATTTTGTATTTCGAACATTTTTTCAGTAGCTGAATATTTGAATTTGATGTCTGGCTGTTTGTCTAGTCAGCTGCCTAACTTTCCATCAGTCAAGATGAGCCTTAAATTTTCAATTATTTAATCTTCACTATCTCCGGCGCACGAGTCAATTTAAAATACCAAAATGAACGCCATAATCCTCAATAATGGTCAGACTTTTTTACTAATTTCCTCATAATACACATCCACAGCACGTTCATTCCCAAAACCAAAGCTGTCTCTTCTATTGTACGGAACAAAAAAAAACTACAATTTTTGGCACTGCCAGAGGAAAACTTTTCTCAACAAAATCAGAAAGAAAAAAAAAAAATTCAATTACTGAACTATCTCAGTTATGATCTCAATATGGGGAAGGGGGGATGGATTATGGTTATACTGAAAATACCTAATAGAATATTCAAAGAATATGTTCCACATTCCTGACAGCTTTAGACTAGATAGCAAATTTATTCTCATCGTTCCTTTAAATCCTTGTGCATTTGACACAAAACAGAATTTAATTAAATGTTTTCTAAAATGTGAAATTCAACAAAAAAATTCTTGTTAAGCTTATTTTTTGAGGGGTTTAATGTGCATGAGATGAATTTTGTATGAGATAGAAAAAGTTTTTTGATTAGGTTTAAAATTTTAATTTGTTAAAATCTGCAATTTGTCATGTTTTCTAGTCAAATAGACTTTTAAGTGAGAATTACTGGAGATTTTGAGGTTAGAGTGTAAACTTGGGGTTGGAATTTGAAGGATTTGATCTGAATTTTGTGATTAGTTGCAATTTTTAGATGAGCCGTGCGTCATTTTTGGGAGAGAGTTTAATGTTTTCTCTAAATATGGCGCACGGTTTTCAATTTATGTTATTGTTGTTAAATTCTTGTACAATTGATAAAATTCTAATCTAATTAGTAGTAATGTGTTCCTCTAAATACAGCGCAGATTTGAGAAATTATGCAGATTTTTTGATTACAATGTTAATTTAACCAGTAAAAATCTTTCTAATTTTATTCAATTGAACCTTTCTGAACCATCAAAATTGACCTGCTAACCACATTTTATCCAATCAATCGACTTTTAAGCAATTTTTCCATCCACGGCAGATCTAAGTGATCTTATTACATCCAATAAACCGAAACAACGACTAAATGATGAACATAATTATCTACCATCCCATCCAAAAGCACCATGTGTCGTTCCCACAATCCAAGCCCACAAAAGGCATCATAATTTCTACAAAAATACTCCCTTAAGTCTCACCATTGGGCAACTATATTTTAATAGAATTTTTTTTACAATCCATAAAATATAATCTTTTTTCTCATTTTACATCTCAATTTTATTGTTTCTTGCTTTACATTCGCCTCACGTTTTTGAACTTTTTTTTTAATTCCATTTTCATCGGAAAACATAAAAATCTGATGTTTTCATCTGTGCTGTTGCAGGTTTCACATATGAGTTTTTATGCCGATGGTTTGTTTTATGTGGGAAGCTTTTGTTGTTAGACTTGAGGTGTTATCGTGGAAAATTCGACGAGGGAAAAGTTTTTAAACTGATGATGATTTTTTTGTTTTATTTTATTAGATTTTGGCTTGATTTGAGGTTTTGTGAGGGGTAATGGGTTGAAATTTTTGAGGTTAAGAATACTCCTTAGTCATTTTTAAGACTTCTGGAAGCAAGATTGATCAAAACTTGCATCAAAATTAATTAAATCTTAACGTGCGTCATATTTGAGAGAGACAGTAAACTGTTTCCTGAAATATGGCGCACAAATTTTTTATTTTTGATACTTATTTTGAAAGCTTACATGTTGCTAAACAGCAAAAGTATCTTTATGAAAGCACATAACCTCCAAATACCTTCACAAATCCTTTACAAAAAATTAAATAAAAAACAATAAATCTATAAAAAATCCTCTTGATTCCACCCCATTCCCTCTCAAACACAGTTTCGATCGTAACAAATTGTTGTAATTGCATTCAATACCTTCACAATAAATCACAATAAAAAGCGTTGGCAGAAACAGGAGGAAAAAGGTCCTTGAAGTTTGTAACACAAAGAGCATAAAAAATAGTTGATTTATTGAGATTCATTTGTAATTCTTTCAGTTATTGAAATTCATAAAAAGCAATCAATTTTAATAATGCATCATTATAATGTCAGATAAATCATATCAAATGCATTCAACAATGTAAAAAAAAGGAAGATATTTCAATACATGTGAGTGGAAATTCTGATTCCAGTGGGAAGACGAGTTGCTATGACATGTTGACAATGAAGTAATATCCAACAAAGTTGCACAATTCAAAATGAAATAAATTTTATCATTTCAAGCAAGATTGCAATGCCTACAGAATCCCCAATAAAATTTATTACCTTACAATATGTGCGCTCATAATTGCAATAAAAAGTATTTAAAAAGTTGAAGAATTTAATTAAAAAATATAAATCACAATGTTCTGGTTATTAATTTTATCATGTATGATGAATTCGAATTATTGGATTGTTTTATATGCGATAATTGATGTAATTAAGTGTTCGTTGTTGGTTTAATACTTACCCGGTGATGATAATTTGACTGATGAGTCGTGCTGTATTAATTTTAAACTTTGTCGGATTTAATTTTAATA